GTGGCGGAAACGGGCTTCCATAGTTTTGCAATGAGGCCACTTAAAAATTTAGCCACTTAAAAAGAATTTTTTTTAATTAATGCGTTTTTTTTTTATTCCATTTTAAAAATGTATTTATTGTTTGTGGGTTTATGTTAAGATGCCTAAGAGCAGGGTTTCCTAAAAGGGGATCACAAGGAAATTTCAGGGGTTATTGAGTTCATGAAAATCTATTCATTAATTAAGCTATCATTAAATCATATAATTTAAATAAATGAATAATTTCAAAATAAAAATATCTAAGGTTGAAAGTTGTAATACAGTAGTGCTTATGAGTGCAGCGTTGCTTTGTTTACAGTGATTACCGAGAAAACAGCTCTATTTCAGCTGTTCCATAAGCGCCACCTGCTGTCAGAAAGAGGATTTACAATTTAATTCAGCCTGTCTGCTGTTTCTGTTCTGACCAATGCAAAAACTGGACTAAAATGTTTGTTGTAAATCTTAACAGGTAGATGAAAAAAACAAACTAATGTGCGTTCTATTAATCTTAATGCTCTAATAATAAGGTAGCCTATAGAATTGTTTATGGAGCAGATACAATTCCTATAATGTATCATTTAAAGTCTGAAATGTGAGGTTTGACGTTTAAACTTTTTTTTTTTGTCAAAACTTTTGTTTGAACATGTGTACATGTTAGTAGATAACATGTTATTGTTGTAAGTCACCAAACGTTTTTTTTATTTGTTTAAAATCAGTTGGTTTTTAACATAAAATATGGTGAAATAATTTCAGTGTGTGTATCAGTACTTTTTGAATATTTCCAGCACATTTTAACAGCATTGTGATAATACTGATAGCTGTGATCATTTTGGTCACTATAATAGCGATATTAAAATGTTCATGCCGTTTTATCTCTAATAACAATAGTTATGTAAAGTAATTCTGATAATAACTTTAAAATGGATACTATACAGTATACTGTGTGTGTGTGTATATACATATGTGTATATATATATATATTAGTAAACAGGCAAATGTGCTATTAAATTATTGAATATTAACTTAAAATATCAGGGGGTACTTCAAGTAAATAATTTAGGCCACTTCAAGTTTGTTATTGATTTTTCAAAGTTGAGATGAGGTGTGTTATGCATTTTTCATTTCAACTCGTAGGGACATATTACAATTTTTGATCGAATGCAATGAAAAAGGGACTAAAAGTGAACTCTTCTTTTCATGAATGATGAATATAATAATAATAATTTCAAATGTGCGAAAATGTTTGAATAATTTCAGTGTGATTGAGCTTTAGTGAGCGTGTGTGCCATCAGTGTACAGTCATCTGCATACAAAAGGTCATGCAGGATTGTGGAATGTGTCTTTGTGCGAGCCTGAAGCCTGTGTAAATTGAAAATGCTGCCAACTGTACGGAACTGGATTTGAATGCACATGTCGCAGTCCTTAAAAGCCACAGATAGAATCATGGAAAAAATGTTGAATAACTGCTGTATGAAGTGCCAAATGGGTCAGACAGCTCACCATCGTCTAGCACCTGACCAAACATGCCATCATGAAATGAACAGACAATGCTGACGAATTTCTCTGGGCATCCGATCTCACGCAGAATGAGTCAGAGTCCAAAGTTTGCTGCAGACTGACATGACATGCAGGCACTCTATCTAGGGGTGCAACGATAAATCGATTTGTGGATCGATTCTGCAATTTTCCGAATGCATCGTGATTCTCTCTCGAATCGATTCTAAGCTTAGTTTTTAACAGCAGATGGCACTACGTGCTTTAGAAACAGCCGTACTCTGCGTGCTTCCAGCTCCTTACACACACCACTTGAACATAAAATAATCATTCATAAAGTTCGAAAAGGTTGAAGCAAATTACAAGTGTTCACAGTTTTTACATTAATCTTGCGTCGTAAAACCATAAAAGTTTAACTGTTCAGGACAAACAAGGGACTCATGAACAACTATCACTAAACAAACAAACAAAAAAAACAGCTGTGGATCATTAAGGTAACCACACAGTATTAAGAATAAACTTTTTTGTAAACTTTTGAACGGGGTAATTTTTATCAATTCAACTATTATTTTCTCTTGTGGACAATATGTAAACATATTTTATGTGAAAAATCTTATTCAGGTCAGTACCAAACAAACAATAACATGCATTTTGTATGATCCCTCTTATTTTGGTACAATAATTAACATTTAGCACATTCTGCAAGGGGGATGTAAACTTTTGACCTCAACTGAATATGTTCAGATTGTTTAATTGCAGTTACATCCTAAAACAGACACAGATCCTCAGTGAATCAACGAGTCATATTACATTCGCAGAGCATGGTCAACTTTACTAATTTATAATTACAAATAAAAAAACTCACCTTCCTCACATCCTTTGTGTTTCTTAGCAGGAATTCATGGAAGGACTCCAGGCAGCTGCGGTAACTCAAATTGGTGGCAACTTCTCTGTATTTGGCAGTCTTTGCTGTGCATCACCCCTCCCCAACGAATAACTTAAAAACACAAGTTAAATGAACTTTTACAAGCCAGACATCAAAACTCTGAACTAGTCAAGATAATTTATTACTTTACAGTGTGCTCAATAATGTGTCTTTGACCTTCATTATGTGTGTTTTGATTATACTGTGTTGTAAATAAAATACAAATAATCAAAACCACCAGTATTTTAATCTTTTCACATTCTTTCTTACCTGCCTCACAGTCACACTGATGGCCCATTAGGGGAGGTCCTTTGTCTCTCAGGTGTGAATCAGAGATATTCATGGCCATTGTCTCTCCTTCACATACAGCCTTTTTAACACAAATCATGTCTTACAAAAAGTAAATCAATAGATTGTTTTCTGTGAATGAGTGAACAGGGTGATTTTCACATCATTTTGTAGCAAAAACTCTAGTCTACCACATCCGGTTCTCAAAAGTCTTGTGAACAATTGTTCTGTATGTGTTTTATGGCCTTATTCCAAAGACACATAAACCTTTTTTTTTTTTTAAAGAACAAACTTGAATTGCAGTGAATACAGTCTTTAACCATTAAGATGTGGCTGAGAAAAGCACCAATGTCGGGGCAAGTCTAAACTTCTTCAGACCTCAGAGGGTTAATTTTATGCTGTCTGGTTATTAGCTAGCAACTCAAATTACAAATAGTTTAAGTTTCATAAATTGTTGTGTGCTGGGTTATTTTGCCAGTTAAAAAACTAGTTGTGTGTTAATAATAGTTATAAAAGTTCAGTAACCATTAGTCAGAAATGTATTCCGTTAACAATTCATAATGTTGTCATCATTGTGTAGCCACGTGTATGGAGGTATGACTCTTTTTTTTTCACACCATGTGCGTAATTGATACCTTTTTCTTGTTCTTTAAGGCTGAATAATTCCAAATGAACTAATTTTGACAAGAAAATACAACAAACAACATCATTTAGAAGTAGCGCATCAATTTTATGTGGTAAAAGACTTGCTTTTTCTCTCTTACCTGTGAGGAAATAAAGAGTGATCTCAGCAGAGAGACAGTGAGTCTGGGGTTTTAAATGCATAGATTGTGTGAATGGCCACGTATGTGAGTGCAGTGTTACTGAATTAATGTTTTACATTGATGTGCAGTGATCTTTGTGTCTATGCTGTTATATAATGATTTACAAAGAGACAACACTTAGGCTATGGTCTCTTCAAAGATTGAAGTTGGAGGTGAAGTTGTATATTAGTGAAAAACACAAACTCAGTAACTGATTTATTGTTGATTTTGCCAGATCTGCTTCAACCACACAGAAACATTCAGTGAAGCTCCTCCCACAACAATCACACCTTCAGTGAAGCTCCTCCCACTGCAGTTCATCAATAAATGCTGGAATATTCCCATCAGTCTACAAGTGAAGACGAGCATCAAAGCATCAGGAAGAAGTGAAATCTGCAGAGACAGAGTTTATTGAAGGACAGAGAGAACATGAGAGATCCAGAACCCTGCAGAATGAAACACACTGAAGAACAAACAGGTTGGTGTTTATTCTTCATCCTTCATCAATGAGGCTGAAGAACAGTAAGAATATAAAGCTTCAAGCAGTTTTAGATTTGTTGCAGTAGGATAAATTGTAAAAGCTGTGCAATAATTTAGCTGAAGCAGCAAATGACAAAGGCACTTTTTATAAACTGGGTACATTTTTATTTATTTACTTTTCAACATAATTCATTTACGTTAGATAATTGTGTAGTTGATCAAGCATATTTATTGTCACTACAGAAACATATCACTAAATTGTGCCTCTATTGTTTAAATTTTTTTAATAATTATTATAATTATTAAGTAATAGTTACAATAATACATATAATAATAATAATACAGCAGGGCTCACTTTCATGTCCTTAATTTCACATTTCTTTCTTTCTTTCACATTTCAGTTTTTTAAAAAACAATGAAATTTTTTTTTCCAGAGTTGATTGAAGAAAACGAGGAGGATGAAGAACTGAATGAAGAGGAGAAAAATCACGTCAAAACTGGAGAAAAACCTTTGAGTCGCTCTCAAACCAAAGAGAAAGATTTAAAGAAAAGAAGAGCTAAGAAATCTTTCACCTGCACTCCCTGAAAGTTCATTCAAAGGAGAAACCACATTCATGTTCTTTCTGTGGAAAGAGGTTTTCACATCTGCGTAATTTAAAAGTACATCAGAAGATACATACTGGTGTGAGAGAATATATGTGCTTTGAGTGTGAGAAGACTTTTATTACAGCTGCAGAATTAAAACAGCACGAGAGAATTCACACTGGAGAGAAACCTTACAAGTGTTCACACTGCGACAAGAGATTCAGTCAGTCAGGAGACCTGAAAACACACGAGAGGATTCACACTGGAGAGAAACCTTACAAGTGTTCACACTGCGACAAGAGATTCAGTCAGTCAGCACATCTGAAAAGACATGAGAGGATTCACACTGGAGAGAAACTGTATCACTGCACTGTATGCGGGAAGAGTTTCAGTCATTCATCTTCTCTACTCATGCATAACAAAAAGATTCACAGTCAGTAGATCATCTTCAGATGCAGCACTTTCAGGTCTGACGCTTCATCCTCACCAAACGTGACACAATAATGTGTCAAGCAATAAAATCTCGTCTGTATAAATCTGTCCTAACAAAGAAACATCAACTTAAGTCCCAGTGAACAAAGTTCATCTTCAAGACCAGCACAGTTTCAACTGTAACATGTTTGTGGGCTTCAGCCTCTGAAGAATCCCCTGAAAGTTCATACAAAGGAGAAACACATTCATGTTCTTTGTGAGGAAAGTTTTTCAGAACTGCAGAGTTTAAAAGTTCATCAGAAGATACACACTGCTGTGAGAGATCATATGTGCTTTGAGTGTGAGAAGACTTTTATTACAGCTGAAGATCTGAAGCGGCTCCAGAGGATCCACACTGGAGAGAAACCTTACAGCTTCATCTGTCAGATTCAGATCAACTCAAAGATGGAGTTCCTCCTCAAAGAACAATATCTAAGAGTTTTATTCTTGTCATTTTACTTCATGATTTTAATTATATCATTGTGTTTTCTTATGAGTTTCATTCATCACTTTAGTTTGTT